GTTTTGATTTTCCACGGGTGCATACAGCTTTCACTCGGTATTTAAAGACATGATAATGACTTAGTTCGTCCTGTTCTGCCTTTAATCGGCAAAAGGAGTTTAGTTCTGTGTTTTCAAGACTTCATAAGAAACAAAAGAAACAACTACAAAGTACAGGGGTTGAATTTTGCATTTGTTTGGTGGGGGGGAGCGGTTTGAGGTTTTCTTTTGGGTTTTTTTTCTCACCTCGTACTTATCCTGTAGCATTCTGCACTGAACTTGTGGGATTTTGTGCAGGCCTGGGAGTGGATGGAGTGTTGCATGCAGCCAGTGCAGTGAGCTGACAGCAGAGCTTTTCAGACACGTTGCTTCATCCGGCCATCTGTTTGGTTTTGAGCAAAGGAGCAGGAAGATGTCTTACACTACAGATATATTAAGAAAAGTCAGAAAATTGGACATATGAAGCTTTATATTTTCCATTTATAATACAGTAGTTTGATTGCAGTGTATAAATCACTGAGTTAGAACACTTCAAAATGAAGTTCTGGCACTCCCACTGCTTCAAGTAGCATTGTTATTTATAGATATTACATGAAGGCTGATGTTATGTTTAAGTGAGCGTTAAACAGTTCAGGCTGTTGTATTGTTGCTACGCACCAGAGAACCTCTGTCAAAGTGACTTTGGCACAGCTGTGTATCCGCCTTTCTCCCTTTGTCTTCCAAACCTTTCAGCAGTGTTTGCAGTTATCCATGTGCTCAGCGATGGAACAACCTATTGTTAGACTAACAAGGGCAAAGTCACACTGGGACTTTTAAAAATGGAAAAAAAGAGGCAGTTCTTTACCCTGCCTAAAAGATTGTTAAATATTAAACTAGCCATACCAAGGAGTTCAGTGAAAGCAAACACTGTGGGTTTACTAAACCTAAACCTAATAAGTTTATAGTCAGGTACAGAGTGTTTTTTGTTTTAGAAAAGAAAGCAATGACAATACAACAGTGTAAATCAATAGTGCTTTAGAATGTTTAATTAAAAAGAGTGAAGGTGAAGTGAAGCCTACAAAACTCCAAAATTTGGTCACAGACATTTTTTCATGACTTGAAGAGAACCCAAATCTCTCTGGTACTCAGGTCAGAATAGCTCCTGCTGGAGTGTATAATTCTTATAAATTATTTATTTTATTTATTCATTGAATTTATTGATTTTAGTTTTAAATCTTCAGACCACCCACAAAAGTTGTTATCCTTTGTTCCATTTCAAGCAACAGAGGTGGCAACAGGAAATGTGGGGCGTGATTGTGTCATCAGGATTGTGTCATCCCCCATTACTAATCAGTCACCATTTGCAATTAAAAATGTGCATGTGCCTCAACACATCTTGGATCCTGGGGCATCTATCTCCTCAGTACTCCTTGAGAACAAAGCTGCTGATCATGTGTGTAAAATATAAAAAGCAAAGTATAAAACACAAACTATGGGATATCTCAGACTGGTTGCCAACAGCTGAGAGGTTTTCACTTTGATTGTGTGTAAAGATTTGTACCTACTTTGGCATTCCCATGTGCCCTAGTAAAATCTTCTCATTGCAAGAAATGAAAAAAAAAACTGCATCATTTTTTTGGGTCTGATGTTTTTAAATCAAGTGGTTGTGTTTCAATCTGAAAGATTTCCAAGGGAATAAAGAAAAGGAACGAGGGGAAGAGAATATGTGAACTTAGAGTAGCCCCTTCCTATCTGCAGTAAAAACATCTTGTCCACTGGAGTGTTAAACTTGCTGTTGAAGTAGAAGGAATATATGGGAAATATCAGTGTTCTATCTAAGCAAGTAAACAGGCCTAATATTTGAAGTTCTCTAGCTACAAGAGGAGGTAATCATGTTGGGAAAAGTACTGAGAATTCATACAGATTTAAGTGGGGAATTAACAGTGAGTGGGGTTTTAAATCGAAAGCAAACCAACTAAATGAAAATGACACCACCAAGAAAAAAAATGGTCTCTGGGTTGCAGGGAAAGTAATGAACCTTTGGTGAAATTACTGAAGTGTTAAAGGAATGCTTGTGGCCTGTGGAAAGACAGAAGTGGCCAAAAAAAGCTATCCTGCTGGTGTTCAGAAGGAAATGAGTAAGATAAAAGGCTGAGGCAAATCAAGCAGTGAGGAAGGGAGAATGATCTATGATGATAAAAAGGGAAATAAATCCGGAGAACTGTAGAAGAGGCCAGTATATCAAATAAGATACTTGAGATAGGTATAGATATTACAGTACTTTACTGGTGTATTTTTGACTGTGCAGGACCAACAAGGTCTTAATGTGATTATCAGTAAATGGAGAACCCTTGTGAGAATGCTGTGGGCACAAATCGGAAGCAAGGGCAGAGAGTGTCCTCAATGCTAAATGCCCAGCTTGGTCTTGCTCAGGTCATAGCTCTTGCTTGGCACAGTATTAATTTGTGTGGTTTCTATTATGTTTTGCTTAAAAGAGAATTTTTGTTATAACACGATTGACTATCTCCTTCTCTCACTTTTTAGTGCTTTAAATAACTTGGAAATGACTGACAGCTTTGTAGAGAAGGTTTCTGTAGACAAATTCTACTCCTGGCCAGTAGTAACTTTGAAGTTAGGTAGTGTTCAGAAAACCATCAGTCATAAAAACAACAGTAATGAAAGCTATAATGTGAACAAAGAAAAGAGAGGAATTGTGATGTTTGTGCTTTTTTTTTTTTTCCCTTAAGCAAGCAGAAACTTTTTTTAACTACGCAGTGCAAATGAGACAGCTGATATGTCTGAATGGGCTTTGGGATTCAGTAGATAACCCAAACAGAAATTAGCAATACACTAGAAGCTGTGTTGCAATTTGATTTATGGCAAAAGCAGTCTTCAAACAGATTTGGGTTTAGTGTGTATTCCTGTCTCATGAAATGGGATCTGAAAATTGAAAAACCATGTGTGATGACAGAGGAAGAAAGTGCTATTAATCAAGACCACTTTTGTTCATGTCTTCAAAGCTGTTCTGCCACCTTTTCATTTTTATCTCTTCCTAGGTTTCAGCTTAGCAGACATTTATAATCTAAAGTGAGCTACAGTAGCAGAGTGACTTGTTCAAGATCAAGTGCCTCTATTCCTAAATTTTTTCTGCTCAGAAATGTTGAATGCTTCAAGAATAAAGATGTTATTTTTTCAAGATATTGCAATTTCATTAATTATACACAAAATAGAGACTTGTTTTAAAAAAGAAAAAAATAAATAAAACTAAAACAAGCAACCCTTATGAGTTGTTGTATTTTTTGCTACTTCAGGTTCTGAAAAGGATCCAAAAATATGGCCATCTCAAAATGACCTGATATAAGAAATTTTTGTAAACCAACCACTTAAACAAAAAAAAAAAGATATATGAGTATATTTCTTCTTCATACACAGAAAGAGTAAGCAAAAGCAGGTATTGAGCCCATATCAGCAAGTTAATACCAAGTCTAATCACAGTACAAATGCATTGTGTTAAACAGGATTTCTCTTCCAGATGTGTTAGCCTACATGTGAGTAGAAAAGGGAGTTGCTGAAGTTCAGGGTAATGTTTTGATTAAACTGTGTAGTGCTTGGCTAAATTCTGTAAATAGCACAATATTGGCATTTATGTTGGATTTTCTGTGGATTCAGTGTTGCTTAAATCTGTCTTCTCTGTGAATTAGTATGGCACTTCTCTTTTAGCAGGAAATGCAGTGTTTTGCCTGAAAAGTTCTTGCTACTTTTCTGTAGGACAGAGGCTGATCAGCATTACGTTAATGGAGATGAAGAAAAACAATTTTTAATTTTTTCCCTGGAAGATATGAAAAACGAGAGGATGAGTAGCACAAAGATTAACAGCTCCACAAACTAGTTATTTTGCAAAGCTTCATACTTTCAATGCCTTGACCCTGGTGTTGGAGAGCTGCATCTTTGCAGCAGTAGTATCATCCTGCACTGACCGATGTCTCAGTCATTGCTTGGTTGTTTCCCTCTGAGTTTCCACTCGGGTCTTAATTTCACTCTTTGATTTACAAGGTTTAGCAAGGCTGCACTAAAGACAGGGCACCAAGTAAACACTCCAGGTTTCTTTTGCCTGTGGTTGCAAACAAAAGGCTATGGAAAATGTGAGCTTTTTTGTAATGTACTTGAAAAAGAAAGATACCTCCTCTTGACAGGAATAACTGCTCCCAAAAACCCATGTTGTTGTAGCTTGTATGTTACCAAGGTACATATATCAATAGAAGGAAAAGAAAAGCAGAGGTCTGCTTGTTTCTTCACTACCCTTTCAACAGTACCATTTGTGCCTTTTGTTTTTGTGCAGGCATTTTTCAAACTCCATAAAAGTTTGTCTGTTCTCCAGCTCTAAAACCCTGAGTACACATGGAAGTGTGTAGCATATACATTTCTGAAAATGTCAGGGTTTTATTTGTGTCATACTTTTATAAGGAGGATGTGAACATGACCTTTGGAGTGCTTCAGAATCCACTGACTAGACCAGTGTTTAATTTCAATGTAGAAACAAATTTTGCTTATACAGTACTCTAGTTTAAATTCCTACACATGTTGTATTGAATGTATGTTCTTGTTTAATGTGTTAGTAATGATGTATGATCTATTGCACTCACTGTGAAATTTTTGAGTAGGTATGTCATTTTCTCCTGCCTCTGTTCATATACTGATGTTCTTGGCTTCAGCTTTTGTATCTAAAACAAAATAATGCCTTCACAGGTTGTATATCCTCTTACCTAACTTCTTCAACATGTTAAAATTTGTCTACTACCTCTCCAAGTTAGCCAAAACCATTCTGTTTTATTTCACAGACATTTCATAAAGTAGGTAGGACTTTTTTGGTAACTTACTGGGGGAGGAGGAGAAAATGAGTGATTTTTAATATGCTCCTTTAAGGAGGAAGATATACACTGGACAATGATGTTAGGCAAATGCTGTTAGTTGCTTGTGTTTCAAGTTAATCTACTTGGTACCGAAAGATGGTCCTCTAAAAACTTTTGGCATTCTTTCCCCAGCTCCTGTCAGTGGATGGACATCCAACAGTATTAAATCACCTGGAACAACTGCCCCGAGTGAAAAAGCTGCAATAACACCTCAGCTGAATGAGCAAGACACGTTGGTTCAGCGGGCGGAGCATATTCCAGCGGGGAAGCGCACTCCCATGTGTGCGCACTGTAACCAGGTCATCAGGTGTGTATCTGCCTGCTGGGGGCATTCTTTGGGGTGTGCAGAATTGCAGAGGGAGCTGGGATTGTTCAGCCTGGAGGAAAGGAGGCTCGAGGACCTTACCCCTCTCTACAACTGCCTGAAAAGGAGGTTGCAGTGATGTGGAGGTTGGCTCAAAAGCATCAGCAGGTTTATGGTCACATCAGCAGTCAGTAGTACTTCAACCATTCTTTTATCATTATGGAAATAATGGACATAGCCACGAGATGTGATGGGGAGGTTTAGATTGGATCTTAGGAAAAGTTTTTTCACCAGTTTGACCAGGCTGCCCAGGGAGGTCTTGGAGTCACCACCCTGAAGGTATTTAAAAGATGTGTAAATGTGGCACTTATGAACATGGCTTAGTGGTGGACTTGGCAGTGAACAGTTGAACTTTATGATCTTATGGATCTTTTCCAACCTAATTCAGTCTATGATTCTGTTCATCCTGGTGCCTCTCTCACAGTAGGGCTTTGTTTTGCTTTTGTGGGTTTTGATTATTTAGTCAAAAGTGGTTTAAGGCTTTATTTTGATAATGCAGAACACTTTTCGTGTGTGGGTATCCAACAAAACCAAGAATGAAACTACTTTGGAGGAAAAATATTGTGAACTGCTAACAATCACAGTCTTACAGTCCATTTTACAGAGAACCAGAAAGCTGGATGGAATGAAGTAAATGTAAGACCAAAGAAAAGTAAGCAAGTTAGTTTTCATGTATATACCCATTCCAATAGAATTTGGACTATTAGCTAGTTGGAAACTAATCAGAAGGCATAGCCTCGGAAAGACTAATGTTGATTTCTAAAGTGTTTCTAACTGAGAAGTTAATTTCTAAAGTTTCTAACTGAGAAGAAGAAAAATAACATCCACAAGTGATGTTTTAACAATTACTAGGAACGGATTGATAATAATTTCCTGTATTGCTGGATTTCAAGCTCTTTGATGGGCTCTCTAGCCTTTGGATATTATGGTAGCTATTGTCCATTACTTGTATGACGTGGGTAGAAAACATTAAGCAACACAAACACAAGTTTGCCAGTAGAGATTAGGTTAAGTAAGTTCTGCTGATCCCATAAGATATCCTATTGTTAGCAAGAATTTTGTATGGAGGAAGAATTGAATGTGGGTTGCATTGTTCAGTCAGTGATTTTTGACAACTAGTCACGATTGTCTCATTCAGGGAATTGTAACTGCTTTTATTGCCAATACGCAAATCATCCTCATTTTCATCCACCTTGCATTTTATTTTCCCTAAAATAAAAATCTCATAGGATTATTGAAAGAAATACATTATTCAAAAGTGTTTTCTTCTTGCTTATTCAGTCATTTGTCATGTTGAATTACAAGGGGAAAGTAAGGGTTTTTATTAGTATTTTAAAATTTATTTATCTTTATGCCATGTTGTCAGTGGACAAAATAAGAGAGCCTGCATTATGTTTCACCAATATTAAAGAAAGAGACTTTTATTGATGAGAAAGTTCTGAAAATTGAGGAACTCCATAAGTTGTATATTTTTCATTCATTATAATAGAAAATCAGCCTTTCCACTATGGGTTTTTGTAGCCTCTTGATCTCTGGTTTGGATTCTACATCAGAACCAGCCAATGCAAATCACTTGATCTTTAGAGGTGAACTGAGTCCAGCTTATTTGCTTCCATGGGATTTCTGTTGTGGTAGTTCACTACCAGTTCAGCTAGCACTGCACTGAGTTTACAAGACTCTTTACTAAAGGATCCGTGATGTTTTGGAAAAGTTATTCCTACTTCTACTGGTTACATCATAGAAACAAAAATATATGAATCTAACCCCCTTGAAGCAGTAGAAAGTACATTCCCAGCACAGGTGCAGCTGTGCATCTTAATCCAGTGGGTTTTTTTGTTTGGCTTTTTTTTTGCTTCACTGAAAAATCAAAGATTAGTATCAGAAAATGTGTACTTATTTTTGGGATGAGATTCATCTGATTCCTTGAACAGTTTGACCTATACAATAATTCTGTCTGTCTGTAGTGTTCTATTACTTTTTGTTCTCTGAGATTTAGATTTGTGTCTAGTAAATAACATGCAAGAAACTATTCATTTTCTATTTTGTACTGTTATTTTAGTTTCAAACCAAATACAAAGTGCACTATATGCTGCATTTTTCATACAATAGACTTCCTTGCCTTTTACAGCAATTGTGGTTTATCAGGGTATGTTGATGCTTTGTGCTGTGGGATCTCAGTCCTGAGCAGTTCCCCTCTCCTCTTGGCCCTTAAATCACTTTCTGGTGCTCCCCACTCCCCCATTTTGATCATAAAGAAAGAGATGAGCTGCTGCTCTCTAAGTAGGACAGTCGTCTATTGGTCTGTGGAGCAACATTTACTCCTTAGTGGATATGTGAGGGCAAACTGCAGAGGCCCCACTTGACTGTACTTAAGCCATTGTCACCTCTTGTAAGTGACACCTTTTCATGAATAGTAATTGGTACCCACATCTGACTTCTTTGTAATTTGCTGTTGGTGTTTAAATCCTTATATTTCTTCATATGTTAAATGCCTGCTCAATTATTAAAAGCAAGCGTTCTGAGATGAGTTGATATTCATTAATCAATGCCAAATATGCCTCATGTTCACAGTATAAAGTGGATGTGGAAGACTGCAATGGCATTTTGAGTTCAAGTTTTAGCATAATTACACTTCATGCCCTCAGTGGTAGCTTTACCTATGAAAAGGTAGGAGGAGGATCAAATGGCATTGCATTGTACATCTGTTTTGAAGCCAAAATGCATTCTGGAGTTGGTTACTTTACACTCAGGCATAGAATAACCATGGCTGGATGAGCCAAAACCTTTCTTAGAGACACCTTATAACTTTTTAATATATCTTCAATTATTCACATAGTGATTGTCTGAAGGTTCCAGTTTTTCCAAAGCTTCATTAAGTAAGCTTTTCTTTCCATGTCTAAAACAATCAAAGCTGCAGGCAAACTAAATTTCTCTTGATCTACTTGCTGTGACGGTCTGGCAGACTTCTGGCATTTCCTGATGAAGACTTCTGGTTCCCAGACAGCCTTACCAAGTTCTGCACTGCAGAGTTGGCTCTTCCTTTGAAGTCCAATTGTGTTTTCTCTGGATTGCCATTGAGAACATACTCTTTGGCATGGCTGCTGTGAATGATGACTTGGCTTTGTCACCTTTTCATAAAGCTTAATTGTTTTTAAAAGCAAAAAGCACAAAGGAAAAAGTACAAATGGTGCTTCCTTTCAGCACCTCCTGCACACAAATTGTGTACTGTGGCATTTTCAGGGGAGGAGAAGAAGAAACTTGCAAGAATGTAGAACTGCTGTATGGTGAACTGTGAAGTGATTTGCCTTCCTAACAGATGTGGAAAGCCTTTTTGATCTCTCTACCACCAAATTTCAGTTCTGGCTTTCTATCATAATACAAGCCACATGAGAGACTAAATTACTGGCATACTAATATAATGCATCACAGTCAAACTGATGAAGTTATATTCAGTTATGAACGTCAAGTAATTGAAATTGCACTTACGTTTCCTTTAAGTTACTCACTTCTCCTTTCAGTTTGCCCCGATATCATTGTTACATGCAGAACTTGTATGTCTGAGGTGACTACTAGAACCGGGTACCTTTAGAGCATTAGATTCTGCAAATACTCTTGTAAATCAATCAAAATATCTTTCCAAGAAATAATAAATAAATGACTAGTTTGTTTTCATCTCTGAGTTCCATTCACATGGTCCAGGTGGTAATGCCAGAAATTTGTTCAGAAATGCTCAGCATGTCAAAGTTGCCTGGGGCAGAGGCTCATTCATAGCCAACTGTTGCCAGTTGGGTCATCCCATATTCCATTTGGACAGTAGGAATGTGGGTTTTTAGCACTGCTTTTACAAATATGTTCTAGTTGATGGAGGCATGTGGGATTTTTATTGTTTTTGGTATTAAATGGGGAAGAAATGAAGGATGAAGCCATCTACAACCATCTTCCTAGCATTCCATCCCTTAGCTACTACTTTCACATTGCGTGAGTGTGGGCATCCTGCCCCCTTACTCAAATTGGGCCTTTAAAGTCCTTTTCAAATTAATAGAGGAAATAAATGCCTTTCATTACTGGAAACTATCATTTTGATGGCAAAATTATGCAGAGACTGGGAACACCTCCAAGTTCTGAATATCATGTTTTAGTGTATTTTACATGGCAGGTATTTTTTTTTTCTTTTTTTTTTTTTCTTCCATATTCTTTGGGGCAGCTTTTAAATTGCAGGAATCATTAAGCCACAGTATCAGCTTGACATGTTTAAACTGCAGCCTGATTGAAAGTAAAATTGTATTTAGAAAGTGTTCTTCTGGACATGTGTGCACAGGGAGCCAGTGCACTAATGGAACACCTCGTAGACATTGTGCAGGGCACAGCCCCAGCTGTCTGGGGGCTTTGGGAGAGGAACTCTGTAGGTGCGCTCTCCGGCTGTTCCTGGTCTGTCTGCGTTCCTGCGCACTGTCCTGAATGCCTGACCTCAACATGTAAGGGCTGTAAACTCCGGAGAGCTAAATGCACAGATGTAAAAATTCCCTCTCCTCCTGTTGCTGGCATGCGTGCTTCCCATTGCAGAGCTGAGCCTGTCATTTCAGTGCAGATGGCCAGAAACTCAATCCTACCTGGAGCCGGGAGAGTGTCTTTAGTGTCAGCCCCGTGTTAATGAATCTGTGAAATTAGCCTGTGCTGACACGGCGCTCTGAGGGCACTTTGTTGTACATAAGGGCTTGTATTGTTTGATCAGTACATAACTGAGAGGGCATTGATGTAAAACGGTGCTTGTAGAGCAGTGGGAGGGTATCGGGTTAGGTCAGTGTTCGCACTGCTCAGGCATCCGCTGGGAGAGGGGCTGGAGAGCTGCGCTCAGCCCCAGCTCCCTCCTTAGAGCTTCTCTCCAGGAGCCCTTTTTCACTCTGTTCCCTCCAATAAACAGGGGTGAATAAAAGAAACTGGCCCGGACTAAGTATGTTCATCATCTTACAAGGTCTTTGGGTTATCCTAAATCTTTGAGTCTATCCTAAGTCTGGTTGAGTCCCTTGTCTTGGACTTCTTATCCTACTGAAAATATATAGCGTCGCCAGAGAAAATGTAGAAGAGAAATGACAGTCTTTACACTCTATCCTTGATTAAATGGCCCTCTGTCCTCAGCTCATTTATATTTCCATTTTAGAGTCAACATAAGCAAATTTCAAGGTGGATTTGGGGGGAGGGGGTTATTTTTTTCTTTAGTGCTGTTGCTTTGTTCATATGAAAATCTTACACAAAAATGTTCTTGTAGATTACTTGATTTAAAAAAAAAAATGTCTAGCAGTAGGTAGTCATATTAGTACCTTTCAGGTTCTTTTCCGTGCAGTATTAGATTAGAAAAAAAAATAAATAATTACATCTTTTCACTTTTCACTATTTGAAAGATTTCCATCTTTATTGGTGTTGGGAAAACAGGACATCTGGTGAGGGAGATGAACTACTAAGTTCATCTGAAACCTAAATTCTGGAAGGTTGAGTGTTGGTGAGACCTTGGAGGCACCTCTTTAAAGTAAATATGTTCTCAGAAGAGAAACATACTGAAAATATTTTCAGATGAATATACAGACAATGATATATACCTGGGATTCATAAGTTACAAACTGAGAAATTTTTGATGACTGAAAAATGGATAAATTTATTTTATATTAACTGCATTGCATTAACCAGACAATGCTATTAAAAATATAGTTATTTTGCATTAGCAAATGATAGAGAAAGCTGCGTGTTTGGGAAAAATTGAACCTATTTTAATACAAAAAAAATCCTCCTATAACTAGGATGGATTATCCTGTAAGAAACTTGTTGGTTACAGTGATTGAATTTTTCTCTCAGAAGAAATTGGTGTTATCTGCTCCTAGTGGGGTCAAGTCTACATATATTTGTTGTCTCAGTATGAATGCAGACTATAGGAGAGCTGATCATGTCACTGAATCAAATATCTCTTTGCAATAGATGGAATTGGGAACATGGGAAACATTCTTCTTCACTTTCCTAGCAGACACTTCAGCACTGTATTTAATGTAGTTCTAAAATAAGATTTCTGAAATGCAGTGAAGTGAAAAGAATTAGTGTTTGTTGTGGGCGGGCATTTCTAGCAGAGAGTTCAATGGAGATGGATGCAGTCAACACTTGGAACTTTCTTAGAGCCTGTAGGAGGGAAGAGGGATGGAGCAATTTATGTGTGTGAACAGTGTAGTAATGGCCCAGAGCTATTGCAGATAAGTCTATTAACAACTTTTGCAGGAGCCAGCCCAGGTGCATTTGCTGACAGTATCTCTTCTTTCTAATCAGAGGACCCTTCTTGGTGGCTTTGGGAAAGTCATGGCATCCAGAGGAGTTTAATTGTGCCCACTGCAAAACCTCCATGGCATACATAGGATTTGTGGAAGAGAAAGGGATGCTGTATTGTGAGGTCTGCTATGAGAAGTTCTTTGCCCCTGAGTGTTCAAAGTGCCAGAGGAAGATCCTTGGGGTAAGTGACCACAAGTGGCCTGTTCTTTCGTGGGAACAATAATCACAGTATTCAGTCCTTCTCGGCTATGAAATTCCATTTTACCTGGCCCAGTGGGCATTCTTTCAAATATACTCTTGACACACCTTTTCTACTCTCATCACATACAGAATACACCTTTGGATCTTCTAATGTTGAACGTTTTCAGTGTCTTTGGGAAAAGGTGCTGTAGGCTCCTTGACTCTTCTAAGCTCAGCTGCTGTTTTCATGAAGCTGTTCAATAGCTGTTGCCATTTACCAAATTTTCCTGAGCAACGTGCTTTTAATTGGCAGCTTTTTACAGAATGGGAAAGGGGAAGTCAGGGAGGGAAGTCAAAATTAAAAATCTTCCTTAGGTGAACCAAGTATTAAGAACACACTGCTTGCTAGATGAGAAGTACTGAACTATTCCCAGTCTAAATGTAGATGGAAAGATGGATTCTCCTACTGGGTACTGATACTGCTCATTTGAGCCTGCCAGCTGATCGGCTGCTGTTTCGCTGCAGACAGCAATGTGTCTGCATTCTTGTGTAACTGGGGTCATGCAGGGCTCTGGCAGCACAATTCTCAAGTCATATTTGGCACTATAGCATCTTCCAGAACAGCACAGAGCAGTCATAATTTTCTGCATGATGTCTTTTGATTAACTCTTCACAGAATTCAAGAGAAGGGAGAGATGATGCTTTCCTTATTTCAGGGGCCCATTATGGGTGAGATCCTGATTAAAACTAACAATTTGAACAAATGAGTTGTTAAAATTTGTCCAACTCTATGTCAAACCTTCCAAAGACCCCAAAGGATTGTTCCTGAAAAATAAGGAGATGTACCATAAATAAAGCACCTCATTAAGTTTAACATTGCAGAACTTGTGTGCACAACCCATTTTCAAAGTAGCAGCAGGAAACAAAGTATTCTTGAAATGAATCAAGTGTGGAGGCATAGCTTACCACAATTCTAGTCATCACATCGAAATAATGTGTTCCTAACACTTTTTCTAATCCCCACAGGAAGTAATAAATGCTTTGAAACAAACTTGGCACGTTTCCTGCTTCGTGTGTGTGGCCTGTCACAACCCCATCCGCAATAATGTTTTCCACTTAGAAGATGGTGATCCCTACTGTGAGACGGGTAAGAAGCAGCACAACCAAAGTTTTCTGCAGCTGTGCAAGAAAGCAGAGCTCAGTAAGGTTGGGGAAAAAAATAATTCCCTTTTCTCAGGCTGCACATTAGAAGCATCCCAGCAATTTCACATTATTTTGATTTGTCAATTCAAAGCAATAGCTGCTGCTGTAGACTCTTTAGTTTGCAGCAGGAGGACTTGGTGAAGATTTCTTCATCAGCTTCAGCAGCAGCAGGCTTCTTGTCACTGATTTTTACCTATTCCTGCTAAGTCCTCAGCTGGAGTATCAATGATACATGAAAGTGTTAGTTTTAGAGTGACTTTCTGGTTGGGTTTAAAGTAATCTGAAGTTTTTGTAAATCTGCTTATTTAGCAAACACAAGCAAATGCCAGTGGAGTAATGTGGTTTTCTCTGAATAGCCTTATTCACTGCCTGAGGGGCTTCCAAGAGTAAGCAGTCTGTCCAGGTAGTTTTTTGCAGGATCAAGGATAACAAACTGTCAGGGGGAAAATGCAGTGATACAATTACAGCACTTGAAAGCCTGCTGAGCAGTATTACGTGAACGATGTGGCCTGGAAGTTCAGACCATTTCTGCTTCGGTTTTTAGCACTTCCAGCTAATCATAATATTTTTTATAAAATCATAAAATAGTTTGGGTTGGAAGGGACCTTAAAGATCATCTGGTTCCAACCCCTCTGTCCATGCCTCCCACTAGACCGTGTTGCTCAAAGCCCCATCCAGCTGGCCTTGAACATCTCCAGGAATGGGCAATCCACAGCTGCTCTGGGCAGCCTATTCCAGTGCCTCACCACCCTCACAATAAAAAATGTCTCTCTATTATCCAATATAAATTTACTCTTTCAGCTTAAAGCTATTCCCCCTTGTCCTATCACTACCTGTCCTTGTAAAATGTCCCTCTACAGCTTTCCTCTAGGCCTCCTTAGGGTAGTGGAAGGTGCTGTAAGGTCTGCCTGGAGCCTTCTCTTTTCCTGGGCTGAACACAGGACATCCAGTGGGGTCCCAGGAGAGCAGAGTAGATGGTTCAGAATCCCTCCCTTGCCTGCTGGCCATTTCTCTTGTGGTGTAGCCCAGGATACAGTTGGCTTTCTGGACTGTGAGTGCACATTGCCAGGCCATGTTGAGCCTCTTGTCAACCTATTATCATTAGTATGAACAGTGTTTATTTAAGTTGGTCTTCTAGTTCGCTTAAAACTTTAAATGTACCCCTCTGAGCTAGCAAGGAAATAAATAATTTGTAAAAAAATTCCCACAAAATGGAAAAGAGACAAAATTGTATCAATATTATCTGTTTTCACAATGCACGCTGTGTTGGAACTGTCAGTTAAACCCTTTTATGGTTTTCCTTCTACTCTTAGGATCATTGCAGATTCACTAGATGTAGAAATGGATTGACTAGAAAAGATTTAGCATGAAATTCTAACAACCTTTTCGGAACAGATCCCAGAGTTGTTCACAATTGGTGCCAGGGAGAGTGCTAGGTACTGTAAGCATGAGGAAAGTAGGCCAGTTTATCCAAAATTTATCTTGTCAGAGCTGCTTTAATGAGATGTTGGCAGATACAAAAGGACACAGTAGGTTATTGCTAACTTGGTGACAAATGCAGAGTAGGGTGTTGCTCCTATTGAATTTGTGGAGCAGCAGAGGAAACGGGTATATGAGTGGCATCCTCCAGTGTGACAGCATGGTGAAATTTCATCCTGAAGCCATGTGAAGCCCCTAATCCTGAAACCATTTGATGATTCAAAAATAGTACTGGAGGAATCAATAACTCCCCTTTGGGTGGAAAGCTCATGACAAGATTTGTTCTCTTAAGGTTTAATTCTTGTTCCTGTCACCAAATGACCCACATGTCATGTGGTGCATTGATTTGTGCTACTGTTACAATTCCTGTGCAAAATGTGCCTTTTTCTATACTGCGAGCAGGAAAAACTGTGGTAAGATGTCAAGTATACTACACTTCTTGCAAAGTTTATTTCTGAGATAAAAAGTTGCTAGTGCAAGTTAATGCAGACACAATCTGTGAGGTGTTATTGGCAGTGATACTTTGTAATGGCTCTGGCTCACTAAATAGATGTTAATTTGAGTTATATTAATATTTCAAAGACTTTCTGTCCAGCTGGACTTACGAGTCTATGACTAATTTTAAAGAAATAAGGAGTAAATGTCACTGCCAACTTTCCTTCTTCCTAGTGCAAAGGAGAGTTCTAATTTTAAATCTGTATTTGAAATTATAACAGCATCAGCTATTAGTATTAAAGGGCGCTTAATCTGCAGAACGTTATGGCTTTAGATGTTGAGGCTAAAATTAAAATAAAAGTCTGGATATCTACAACTTTGAACATTTTTAAAGTGCAGAGTTAGTAGCCTGGTTTTGAAAATGCTGTGTGCAGGAAGCACTGATACGTGACTGAGTAAAAAGTCTGCCTTGGGAGGCTTCTGTGGTATTGCAATTCAAGCATGCAAAAGAAAGCTGATGCCCTTCATTCTGCCTTATCTACTGCCCTTTCTTCAGAAGAAAAGCTGATAAACTTATCAACACAGCCACAAACCAACTTATAGAAGGTTTTGACTGCTGGCACCAGGAAAATATCAGTAAGATTCTGTATGACCACAAATGCCAAGAGCTGAAAGAGTATGGTCATGAGACTGTGTCCTTCAGGGGTTTTGCACAGCTCTGTCCTACCATTTGATGTTTTTATGGTCTTTCTTCTTACACACCTATAAATTCATTCCAGTAGCATGGATTAATGGAAGTGATCAGTGAAGCAGTTTCTTGCCACTGGCAGCTATCGAGGGCTTTACTGTTCTACAGCACTTGTATTCCCCATCCTGTTGAGATGTCTCCTATGATGATTCATTTTCAGGGAGGTCATCATACAAAACATGTCTCAGTAAACAAAACCAGGACTTCCCTATTGGGCTTGACACATCTGCTGATCCTCTGTGGGCTCTGCTGCAGTAAGCATTAGAGCTTCAGCAGATGTGTACAGTCTAGGTGAGAAACAAAATCCACTTCTACCCCGCTTCCCCCACCCCTTATAATTCTCCTTTGGAAATGATCCTTGGCATCTAATTTCCTTGTCAGAGGCAGTGTTACTATGGTAGTAACACTCTGTTCCTGGTAGATGGAGTCCAAAGTTTCATTATGGCTGTCACTTTGACTGTAGTTCATCTTATGAAGACATAATGTTGCATGATATGTTTGCTATGGTAGTGTGCTGATCCTAAATTCTCTCATGTTATAGCACTAATGCCACTGGTGTCTCTGCAGGAATAAAACATTTGCTTCCTAGAATGGGGTGTTTGAGAGTTGAAATAAGCGAAAAAGGCCAGACAGCTTGGGCTGGGGAATATGAATGGTTCAATGCCATTTGTTTTAGTCCCTGCTCCCTGAGATTGCTGGAGAAGCTTCTTCATAGAAATGAAGAGGAAGGGTTTGTTGGTTTGTTTTGGAGTTTTGTTGGTTTTTTTAAAAGTCATGTAACATATTTTAGTGACTCGAAGGTATTCCGACTTGATCCAAAGTTCTAGACCCTGATTAGGACAGAAGCCTAAAGAGTACATGGCTTTGAGTACTGCAGCTGGGGCAAAAATTGTGCCAGAATGTAAGTTGGAGTTCATTGCTCACTGAGAAGATCTGTAGGGTGAACGGCTGGGGTGTGGTTTCAGAGTTGGAGAGAACATAAGGAACATGTAGAGTTCGTGTGGGTGCTCTCAAGGAGTGCATTTCCCCCCTCCAGCCCACTGTTGATCTCAAGGAAATGAAACACCAGGAAGATGGACGCATTTTCCCACTTGAAAGGATGAGGAAAAGAACTGAATTAGCAGGAAGTCAACATCCCACGCCTTCGATCTAGGAGCTCTTTATTCAGTATACTCAGTCTAATAAACCTCAGCAAGTCCAAATCTATTGCCAGTGAAAGAGCAAAGCTCTCAAAGGGTCAGTCCTGCTTTTCTGCATGTGCTTTAAAAGCTGTTTGTATCTCTTTGCAGATTACTATGCCCTCTTTGGTACGATGTGCCATGGCTGCGAATTCCCCATCGAAGCTGGAGACAGGTTTCTTGAAGCCCTGGGCCACACTTGGCATGACACTTGCTTTGTATGCTCCGTAAGTAAAGCTGGTCTGCCTTTAAACAAACCCTGGCAGCAGTGCTACCCTGACCCATATGGGAGTCAACAGCTCTAACCTCTGTCAATCCCCTGAGCCCAAACAAAAAGTGCTTTCCCAGTTATTTGGAAGGTGTGTTGCTATTGTAAGCCTTTGGCACGGGTGCAAGTGAAGGTGTCCTGGATTGCAGCCCTGTGTCCCAGCATTTAACCCTTGGCGTTCACTTCCTCACAGTGAGTGTGGAAGGTCGTAAGGGAATGGGCTGTATTTCCAAAGTAGTAAGAGTGCTTTTGCCATAAGGACACTGTAGCCAAGGTACTGCTTGCTAATATTGTATGACCAAAAAAACCTTAGAGAAGCCCCACTATTTATGATTGGAGTTTTTTTTTCTTAAATTCTGAATCAAACGCTGTTCACGCTTAAGCACCTCTTGTCTTAAGAAAGGTTATGCTTACACCAGCCATTAGTATTATATAAAAAGAGGATCCCTAAAAAAAAAAAAGGTGATTCTTGTTCTTCGAATATATTTGTGCATAGAACAATACCATGATTTGGCAGTCTGAATGGTTATGGTGTAATTAATCCATCTGAATTGGGTGTTCTTTTGTTTCTTACCCCATTTCAGGTATGTAGTGACAGTTTGGAGGGCCAGACTTTCTTCTCCAAGAAGGACAAGCCACTGTGCAAGAAACATGCCCACTCTATCAACATCTGAAACTTGGAGCTCGTTTTGTGTAACAAATGTACTGAGCAGAAAGGTTAAAATGTCCATATTCAATAATTCGTTAAAATAATTTATGCCAAATTTTTCTAAAATGAAAAAGTGATGTGGAAACTTGCAGAAAGGATTGTACACTATTTTTTTAGAGTGTTTATCATTTATGATTTTGCTTCATAAAAAGAAAGGTATCAGGAATTGCACCCAAGCCAAACAATTAGAGTACCTTTATCTCTACACTTCACACATTACTGTATTTCATGATTTTATGACCACATTTGTCTCTATTTCATTATGAGAAGTGAAGCATCTATAAAAGTAAATACCTGATATTAGAGGTCTCAGTCTTGCTGCTGTTCAGCAAATAAAGGGAGACTGGATTCAACAATCCAAATCACTTTATTTCAGTGATGTTTTTAAAGTGTGTCCAGAAGTATTGTGACTAAACTCCATTAAAAAGAACTCAAAGTAAAGATAAGATTACACAAAATATATAGTTTCAAAACTTTTTTTTAATCTGCTATTCGTATACAGGAAGATTCCTACATGATTACATGTACCTGCGCCTTTGCACTTGAATTTCTGATAGGTTTGCAAGGGACGGAGGTTTTTACAAAGCATTTAAGGGTCTATGCTGGTAAAAAAATATTTTGAAGATGCCACTTAAAACATAAATGGGATACTTTTCTGTAACTCGTATACTGCCAGAACACTAGCCAAAACCCCCTGCTGCTGAGGGCGTGTTTGATAGGATGAAAATGTCAGATCAAATCTTAAGGGAGCAGGGATTTCAATTCTTCTGTTTGCAGTTCAGGTTTTAGGTTGCTTTAAGTGCCTTGTAAAGGGGAAATTGTGCTGAATCTTCAGGTAACAGCGTTTTGTATCCAGAATGTGAGATTCTAGTGTTGAATGAGGGAAGCTGCTGAAGTGCAACTGAGGACATTGTTTTTTTCCTCAGTACATTCTTTACCACGTAGCTCATGAATATGTATATTGGTGGAGTGCCAGGTGAAAACTTTCTTGCTCAGCTGTTATGATTTTTATTAGTTTAGGATTTATTTTTCTCTTCCAGATGTAGGGAATGGATTGTGAAATGATATTCCATTGATTTAAGCGGCTCAGTACCTCTCAGATCTTGCAAGGGAGCAGAGAGACAATGCGGTCATTATGCATTTGTTGCGAGCTGGATCAGCTGATTCTGTGGCTTGATAGGAATTTTGCATCCACCCAGAGAGTCAGTGCAAGCCCAGTGCACCAGCTCAGTCCCCCTTAGCCTCAAATTAGGGTTTAACTGGTTTAATTGGAGCAATTGCAGGCAGCCAGGGAGGAGGTGGTGCTCCTCTGCAACAGGGTGAATTTGCTTCAGTAGAATTGCACAACAGTGAAGGGGGCTCTCTTGGGACCAGAGCAGATTCCTGAAGAAAACTGAATTTACATCAGTTTGTTTCAACTGGGGTGTCAGAGCTGAATTGTTAATCTTTAGTGCTCTTTCTAGTAGACATTAAAAATAACCATTTACTGGTTTTGTTCTTGTGGGGTGGGTTTTTTAACTGATTCACCAGATAGTTTTATCCATAAAACCATGGATAAAAAAGTCACAAAAATTTGGTATGGTTGAATAAAGCAACTGTAATGAGGAACATCAGCAAAAGAGGAGGAAAGAAAACCAAAATTGCTGTACTGAAATATGAAAAATATTTGGCTTTTAATTAATTCAGTGAGACAGGTTCACATTGTGGGGCTGTTTCACTTTATTTCCTGAAGTTGTTTTTATTCAATATTACCACGTTTCTTTTTTAACTTCCAGTGGTACAGAAGAAATTTGGTAAATTTGGTGAATGTTGGTAAATAAGAAATTTGGTGGTACGGTATAAAGCTGTTTAAAGTGTTTACACTCTTGTAGATGTACCCTATTGTGAGTTCGGTGAAAATCAGAAGGGTGGAAGCAGACTGGACAAGATACACTAATATATAAACCAGGTTGCTTTTAAAATTAAGTGGAATGTGGAAAAATGAGACCTATGGACTAGGTTTCAGTGGAGCTTTATTGCACATGTGTGAGGAAAGAGGGGGAAATGCACAGGAAAAGGGGTTCCATAATTTCTGCGATTCAAACCTTGCAATTTTAATGTAGGATAAAAACTTATCAGTTTGTCATTGTCCTTAAAATCCAGTTAAATTTTGTTTAGCCTCATAATTTTAATTGGAATTTTATTTTTAATCCATATGCTCTAGGGTTTGAAATTTTCCAGTTGTTAATGAATTTGAGGACAAAAGCCTGAAAGGCTCCAATAGAACTGCTTCATTTAGCTGCTTTGCCTTTTAATTTCTGCTTTTATCTATTTGTTTAAAATTTTAAAGGAAGCATAGAGTCACTGATAGATAACGGATATTTAATGGCTTTACCAAATTATATAAATCAATTAAAAGGAACATAATTTTTATCGTTATTTTAAGAAGTGAGATTTTAGTAGAGCACTTTATAATAATGCCATATATCTCACTGAATATTTATTACCTTTTTTGTTGTTGTTGTTTAGAACTATTTCATCCTGGTAGTATTTTGTTTTATTTTAAGCCTGCCTTTACCTCTAGAATCTTCTGGGGACTGAGTGTATGTGTTTAAATATACTTTTTTCTACATGCACACGTATGTGCATTGAGAGACATAAGTATAAATGTATATTTGAATGCAGACTTGACATAGCAAAAAATCATTTGGGGATTTAGTGAGATTCCCAACTTCTTTTCACACAACACACATACAGCATTCATTTATGAGGGAATGTTGCAGAGTCAGGACAGATGTATTAGTAACCTAACTACTGTAGATCTTTGCATGCATTTTCAGTCAGTTGTCATTTTTCTTCCAAAACTGCCTGTGAGAGAATTTGGTTTAACTCTGTTTGGAGTTAGAATGTCTTTGTAAGTGAATAATTGATCCATGATGACAATTTCAGTATGTTGTAATGAAATAATTCAGGATTGCATGTAAATATAAATGCTTAATATAACTATGCCATAAACATAAAAGCAGGAGTTGAGTTGTGGTTCAGTGTGTGTTGGTTTGTTAATTGTGTACCTGTTTCTTGACGGAGCTACATGCATCATCTAGCCATGCCAGCTGCTTTGCAAACATTGTTTTATGCTAAACTACCAGCTGTTAAATCCTGGTGATTTCTTTGCTTGTGTTTAATAATCTTTGGCATTAAATTTTGTCTGTTCACGTTTGCAAATTTAATTACAATTGAAAAACATAATAAGCAAATAAACCCTACTCAAAACCTGAATTTCTCTGTTTCAGTTATTTTGTGGTTGTTGGATACTTTCTTTTCCTGAATCATAGCCAGTAAAGGAAAGCCATGATTATACACATGAATAGATAGTATTTGAGCTGCTCATTCTCTAGGTTTTATAGGGGTTTTAGCTTTGTTTTACAGGGAAGGACCAGGGAGTCCTGGTGACACCAAGGTGACCATGAGCCAGTGATAGCTCCTCTGAGACAAGGAAGACCACCAGCCTCCTGGGGTCCATTAGGCAGAGGATTGCAGCAGATGGGAGAAGTTATCCTTCTCTGCTCAGCCTTGGTGAGACCCATCTGGAGATCTGAGTCCAGTGCTGGTCTCACCAGTACCAGAGATACAGCTGTACTGGAGTAAAGAGTGAGGGGTATGGAGCATTTGTCATACAAGGAGAGGCTAAGAGAGCTGGGACTGCTCAGCCTGGAGAAGAGGGGACTCAGGGGAGATCTCATCAATGTCTACAAACACCTGGATAGGGGAGTCAAGAAAAAACAGCCAGGCTTGTTATGTAGTGAGAGGAAGACTGTGAGGATGATAAATACTGGTATGGGTTGCCCAGAGAGATTGTGGAGTCTCTCTACTTGGACTCAAAACCCAACTGGATACAGCCCTTGGACTAGGCAAGGTCCCTTCCAGCCTCGATGAGTCTCTGGTTCTTCACCTTTTCTCAAGATGGATGGAAAAGTATAAATACTGTGTTGAACACTGTAGAATATGTAACAATGCAAAACTTAAATTGGCCAATTACTGTTTGTTTGCTATCCTTTCTCCACTCTACTGCCCATCTAGAATACCTTGCACTATTTCTCTAGAAGGGTTTAATATATTTCCTAAGATGACACTGTTCAAGGAAATACTGCCTGCTCTGGCAAGCATTGTCTGCCACCAATCTCCCTTGGCATGCAGCAGTCTCTGTTTTCACTGTGGGACACTCAACTATCTGCTCTGACAGGGCCAGTTCCTTCATGATAACACCAGTCTGGTAAGAATCCCCTCAGCTGAGTATCTCTTAAACAGGCAAATGCACTGTTGTATTTTTACCTTTATTTACACAGGCAAAGGAAAACACTGCACACAGCTCTATAAAATTTAGAGGCAACTTTACAGAAAACTTGCCTCCCCTTCAGTGTTTAGGCTATAAGCGAGACAAACGCAAGTCTATTTGCAAACAGTACATTAAGCTCCAGAAGCCAAATTTTTAAAGGCATGAAGTCTGCATTTGACATTTTAATGGCAAAGGTTTGGTTTCTATCAATCACAACGTCATGTAACATTAAAATGCACCGACCAACAAAAAAAAGAGATCTGTCATTCATTCATTAAGATGCTGTAATCCAGTGTAAGATTTATAGGCTTAAAATGCAATGGTGTGTTTTCACAATAAATCCACTTTCACTGCTCAGCACAGAACAAATCTGTCACTCAAAATATTTGCTGGTCAAAATGCCCTATATGAGATCTTCAAAGGGTTTCTCACAAAATTGCATATAAATCCTTTTACCAGCAAAGGCTTAATTTAGGTTCAAGTTTTACTTTCTTGGGACGTTGGTTAATATCTTGTGCTCAGACAAGATCTTGGTTATATCAGAAACACATAGGGCCTAATTTATTATTAGCAGTCTGGTGTTAACTAGGGGGAATTACCAGAAATAGTTTACTTGATGGAAATTTATTATGGTATCACACTTTACTGATGGTGAAATAGGAGTCACTGAAAGAGTGCAGCTCCTTCTCATAACCAGCTAATTAATAAGGTGCCAAAATTCCTCTGAGAAGGGTTTGGTCCTAACCATGGGAACCTTACAGAGCAAATGGTTCCTATGCAATATTTAAAATTTAAAAGAGGAAAAGAGAGACGAGAAAAAGCTGCCCAGCAGAAGTCTCAAAAGTGGTATGGCTTTCTCTTGAATTTATGAAAGAAAATATTTAGCTGTGTTTCCAAGCTCATTAAAGAATGGCTTTTCTGAGACAGAAAAACAACAGCTAATTTATAATTTCGTTTGGTATGCTTGAACTTGGTTTTCAGTTTTGCTTGTGCATACTACAGCTTGTAATTTTATGAATTGGGCTTATAATGAGCTTTTATATTACTCTTTATTGCTTTGCTTAATGGTCTTTTTCATTATCATTTGCCAGGAAAGTTGAGGCTGGCTTAGATAGGAAACTGAAAAATAGCGCAAATCTCTGATAAGCTCCAAACTATTTTGTATATGGTAGTTTGGGGATAGAAAGCCACAGTGTCTTTAGAGGTCTCATGAAAGTTGTGTGAGAAAGGCATGTTATAGTAAGATGGTGTGAAAGCAAAAACATCTCTAAAGAAATTTTAATTCAAGACACTAAAATTTATGCATGGCTAATTTTTGAAAATACTTAAGATGATACGGTATGCAATTCTAATAAAGCACCTTTGTATTTGCACTGAAAATACCTTGACCTATTGAAAAATATCCAGCATTTTGGATATGCTTCTGTCCAAGCTTTCTCCTGTACTGTGAGACTAAGGATTGTGCCATTGTGGTGTGAGTAATATTCACACTTTCCATAGATCAGAGTTGTTTCCTTTTCAGTTCTCGTGCCTTTGCTTTGCTTTTTCTTATTGCTGGGCAGTGGCATTGTTTGTTTTAAAATACTTCATTACAAGATAATCCTGTCAGGTGTGTCCCTTATTTCTCTTTGTGATGCATCAATGAAATGTCAAATGTTCCTTTGGTAAATATAAGCTTGCACTAAATTTTGGCATGCTTTTCGAAGTGTCAAGTTTTCCCACCCAGAAGTTTCCGCTGGAAAAATAACTCAAGATACTAGACCAAAATGTAATTATATCCCACATAAAGTGTTCATTTCCCTTGAAATCCACCAATCAAAAGGGAAACACATGAAAACAAGTATGGGGCCAAAATCATGGATAACCTGAACAGATACTACCTCACTGATTTCAATTTATTCCCTTCCAAGTTAAAAATAAATGGTATCAAAGCTACTTTAATTGCATGCTTACATTTGTCCATTGAGTAATCTCAGAATTAAGGATTGGGTTCTTGGTTTTATCAGGATTTCTTTTTATGTAGGATTCAGTCTTGGACTTACACTTGGCTTTGAACAACCACAGTGAAGTTTATCTGCCATGTGACTGCTTTTTCCACACTTTCTACCCACTGACAATCAGTAGAGGATTCAGGGAAATTCAGACAAGTGTTATCTGGAGAAGAAATTAGGCTGGACTTGCTCTGAAATAAATCAGTGTGTAAAAGTGGAAGTTAAATGATGCTACAATAAGGCTGCAAATCTGTCTTTAAATCGTGCATGTTATTTTTTGATGCTTTTTCATTTTTTCCAAGTGGGTGTCTATGGTGGCAAACCGTTTCAGAGTGTACTCTGATGAAGCCTATGATATGCTACCCCCCCCAAAAAAAGTCCTTTACAAAGCTGTAGAGCTTTGGCATAAGTTTCCTAATGCCACATACATCTTAAAGGCAGTTGCATAGCTGTAAGTAGGAGAATCTTTATTTTCTGCTCAGTGGTAATTAGCATGCAGGGATTGTGGAGTCTTGTGGGAGCACTGCACCACTATTTTTACAGCATGATACATTACCATGAAACTGGGAGTTATAATTTGGAATGTGATGGGAGTAATGTGGTGATCTTTGCTCTGCTACACAAAGGGTGCAAACAGTTAAATGAAAATCAGTATATGGGAGCTGTGGATTGCCACCTGCATCCAGAGCTCACCTTGAAGAAGCTTGGATAGGTCCTGCCACTGGCAAGAGCTACAATCCCAGCCAGTCCATCCCAACAAATGCCCCTGCTTGCTGCCTCTCTGCAGTCATCTCCCCTCCCTCTACCCAGCAGCACCCTGGTGACCCTGACCCTTTGTTCTCCAGAGACCCAAAAATACATCTTTGGAGGATTATATATGGGTTAGGTTTTTAAACTAGTATACATTCAAAGATAATCACTGTTGAGGGCAAGTGTGAGCCTACTCTTATCAATATGTGTCTATGTCAGTGTAATTACTTATTTTTCAGGGAGCATATTGAGAGAAGACTCTAACATCTTACTGCCAGGGGTTTGCAAAATCAGCCAGGATGGAAATTGGTATTCAAACCATTTATTTTGAACAGTAACAGTGTTTGCTATTCTGTCCTTTATGTCTTGCCACAATGTACATACAGTAAGCTCCCATCTTTCTCCTGGAGGGGAGAAAAGGTGTACTTCATAGCAATTTTTAATTGTGCTTTCACTCACTGTAAAGACAGAAGGGAAAAGTGAGCTTCAGCAGAGGGCAGGATTCAGGGCACAGTGATAGTAGGAAAGAGGAGGCGACAGTAGGAGACAGTTTAGAAAGAGAGCAAGAGCTTGTGCAAGTGAGGCTGTTTTGTCAGTTGTTTCTTGTCAAAGGTTGATGAGCACATGGTCTGAAAGTGGGATAATTTGGGTGTGGCAAGGTAAAACAGCAGTCAAGAGCTGAGGATGCTCCTAAGGGGGAACCTAAGGGGCACACAGACCTTGCAGCCTCATGCAAAGGGACTTTACTTTATTCTACATTTATATTCACCACCAAGTTGTGCACATTTTTTTTTTTTCTGACAGTTTTTTTCTTTGAGGTCAAATAGCTTTTTTTTTTTATATCTTCATGATGTACATGAGAACAAGCAAATCCTTTTTTATCATCAGCTGATCTGGGGCTCCCCAGAGGCTGAAGTGAGATTTGTTTAACTTTACAGTGCCAGCTGCTGCTTCAAATTACACCATCCCATTCTGTACTGTCTGTAGGTAGCAGCCCTATCTCAAATTCCCCCAAGGCTTTGCATCTCTGAACTTCTTTCAGCTCTTGGCATGGCCAGCTCTGCTAAAGCCGCTTGGAGATTTTGCACAGCAGCTCTGTGGGGCTGTGGGAGCAGAATGCACATGGAGCTGCTGCACCCTTGTGCAGTACCATAACCTGGATGGGGGTGAAATGGATTGCAAAACTTCACCTAATCACTACC